CCTGCTACATTTCAAGCCCTAATAAATGACTTTTTTTAGTTCATTTCTAAGAAAATTTGTCTTGGTATTTTTTGATGATATCCTAGTCTATAGTACCTCTATGAAAGATCATATTACTCATTTACAGCTGGTTTTGGAAGTCTTGCAAAATAATTAGTTATTTTCTAAACTGTCCAAATGCTTCTTTGGACAGACTCAAGTAGAATATTTGGGCCATATTATTTCAGCTGCTAGAGTATCTACTGATCCTAATAAGGTTGAAGCTATGAGGAACTAGCTTGTACCTAAATCTTTAAAGTCTTTGTGTGGGTTTTTGGGATTAACAGGATATTATAGAAGATTTATAAAGGATTATGGAACAATCAGTAAACATTTGACATATATGCTTAAGAATGATAATTTCAAGTAGAACATTGAAGCTTTAAAGGCTTTTGAAGACTTGAAACAAGCTATGTGTGTTGCCCCTGTTTTAGCTTTACCAGATTTTGGTAAGAGTTTTTACTTGGAAACAGATGCCAGTTCAGGAGGCATTGGTGCAATCTTATCTCAAGATGGCATACCTATTGCCTACCTTAGTAAGGCTCTTAGTCCCAGACATGCTACACTCTCTATTTATAAAAGAGAGTATCTTGTTATTCTTTTAGTAGTTTTTAAGTGGAGGCATTACTTAGAGAGTAAACCTTTTGTTATAAAAACATACCATGAACCTTTAAAGTACCTATTGGAACATAAATTAACTACTGCAATTCAAAAGAAGGGATTGACTAAACTATTGGGGCTAGATTACACTATTCAATACATGAAAGGCAAGTCAAATGTTGTTGCTGATGCCTTATCTATATAGTGAGAAGATCAAGGTCAGTGTCTTGCTATGGGAACTACCTTAATCATTCCTAGTTGGGTTCAGGAAGTTGAAGGAAGTTATAAGGATGATTTATTGGCTATGGAATGGATCTCTATATTAAATGTTAATCCTAATGATGATCCTAAGTAGAAATATTCAAAGGGTATCCTTAGATTTAATGATAGAGTCTATATTGTGACTGTTGGGTCTCTTAGACTTTAAATTCTTCAGACACTACATGATTCACCTCATGGAGGTCATTATGGAAGCCAAGCTACCTATAAAAGAATTAGGTCTTATTTTTATTGGCCTATGCTTAAAGCTATTGTGGCAACTTATGTAAGAGCTTGTGCAGTATGTCAACAAACTAAAGTGGAGCATGTTACTAAACCAGGACTTTTACAGCCCCTACCTATTCCTCAGCAAGCTTGGGAGGTAATTATTATATAGAGGGTTTTCCTACATCATTGAGGAAAAATTATATTTTAGTGGTGGTTGACAAGTTTATTAAAGATAGCCATATTTTTGCATTGTCACACCGTTACTTTGTAGCTGATGTAGCTAAATTATACCTAGATCATGTCTATAAGCTTCATGGCCAGCCTAAAATGGTCATTTCAGACAGAGAAAAGACTTTCACTAGCCTCCTTTAGAGAGAACTAATGAAACAATTGGGGACTAAGACCCTATTTAGCACTGCTTACCATCCTAAAACTGATGGACAGTCAGAAAGAGTAAATCAATGTTTAGAATAATATCTAAGGGGTCTCTGTTTTTTTCAATCAAAGAAGTGGGCTAAATGGTTGTCTCATGCTGAGTAGTGGTATAATACCACCTACAATATTGCCATAAAGTTAACACATTTTCAAGCTCTATATGGCTACAAGCCTCCTACAATGGTATGTCATACATAGACTCAAGTACATGCTATAGGAGAATTAATGCGAAGCAGAGAAGAAATCAGACAATTGGTTAAGTTACAATTACAACATGCCAGCAATCGTATGAAGCAAAAAGCAGATAAGAAAAGGTCATAAAGAGTTTTTCAAGTGGGGGATGCAGTTTACCTGAAATTGCAGCCATACATGCAAACTTCTCTTGCCTTGAGAAAAAATTTAAAATTAGCAGTGAGGTTTTATGGTTCGTACAAGAATACACAACAAATTGGAGAAGTGACATACAAATTGGACTTACCAGAAAACTCGCGTCTGCACCCAGTTTTTCATGTCAGTCTATTGAAGAAACATGTTGGGGAAGCATCATCATCTTCAACGGATCCTCCTGTGGTTGATGACGAGGGTCAGTTCAAGGTCGAACCAAGTAAGATATTGGGCAGAAGAATAGTTAATCGACAAAATAAACCGATAACTCAGTTGCTGGTTCGATGGACTAACCTGGATGAGACGAACGATACATGGGAAGACTATTATGTGATTTGAGGACAGTTTCCAAACTTTGATCCTTGGGGACAAGGATCATCTCCAGCGGCGGGTATTGTCATAGTCGGGGGAGATGGTCGTGAAAACGAAGAGGAAATTGGGGAAAGAAAGAGTCAAGGGTTAGGGATTTTAAATGAGGAATTAGGGATTGAGGCACGAGAGGGGCAAATGATGTACTTACCATCTGAAGTGGAGCAACCCGTGTACCCGGTTCAGGAACAATTGGAGCAGCCCGTGCACCTGGTCCAGAAAGAATTGGAGCAGTCCAAGTCCCAAGGCCCAATAACCTGCAAGGAGAATGAAGATAAGCTTAGTTTGTTATAAGCTGTTAGAAAAGACAACCAGCTGGCATCCTTCACAATTTCCGTTTTAGCCTTGTAACTAAATAATACTGGTTGTAGAGGCATTTGATTCCTCAAGTTATGAATGAAAGCATTTTTCTTCTCTAAATTCTCTCTTTTCTCCATTACCTTATTCTCGAATTCTTTTCTAATTCTCTCAATCCATAACATGGTGATGAATAAGATTCTTTCGACTACAAAAGGCATAACGAGATCGACATTCACCAATGTATTATTATTTTGCAGCCCGTGTACCCGGTTCAGGAAGAATTAGAGCAGCCCGTGCACCTGGTCAAGAAAGAATTGGAGCAACCCAAGGCCCAATAACCTGCAAAGAGAAAGAAGATAAGCTTAGTTTGTTATAAGCTGTTAGAAAGGACAGCCAGCTGGCATCCTTTACAATTTCCGTTTTAGCCTTGTAACTAAATAATACTGGCTGTAGAGGCATTTGATTCCTCAAGTTATGAATGAAAACACTTTTCTTCTCTGAATTCTCTCTTTTCTCCATTATCTTATTCTCGAATTCTTTTCTAATTTTCTCAATCCATAACATGGTGATGAATAAGATTCTTTCGACTACAAAAGGCATAACGAGATCGACATTCATCAATGTATTATTATTTTACGACACCTTAATACATGCATAAACTGGAATAATGATTTTATGTGATTTTAGTTTTTGTTGAATATGTTAAACATTTTACGTTATTTTTTTATTATTTTGGATTTATTTAAATATTAATCATTATCGAGTCAAATATTAAAATATAAAATAGACAATACAAAGCGTTCAAATACAAACAACTTAAATACCAAAATACTAAAATATTCATTGAAATATAAATAAAAATCACTTTTAGTACAAAGAGTTCAATGAAATCCTTGAGACATGTATCTTGGTTGATTTGTATTTTTTTTATGTCCATCCCTCCAGTACTACAACTCTTGGTTGTACTATCTCTCTATAATTAAGATTCATACCGGTATGGATGTGAATGGTTTGAGGTCAACCATTTAGCTCTTTACGGATTTCTTGATTCAATAGTCATTCTTCATGCTCCACTAGCAGCTAATATTGTTAATTTTTTATCATGCGAACTTATAATTATAAATATTTACTGCAGCTTAAAGTGTTCATCCGCAAACGCCCAAGCCATCCCATGAACCAAGGCCATCATATTTGTCGACAAGCTCACCGTCTGCAACCATGCTTTCCTGAAATTAGAGACATCCAGTACTTCAAGCTCCTCTAGTTGGTATTCATCCTCAGCCTCACCAGTATTGGATCAACCTAGAAGAATATCAGTACAAGCTACTTCAGCAAATTCCAATAATTGCTCCGGAATAGTTGTACTGAAGCAGAATATGTCCAGCCCTGCCATCAAACTTGACTCCCCAAAGCTTGGGATTAAGAATGCAACATGACAAATGCAACACCGATTTTCATTCTGATTATATGCGTTCGAATTTCAAACCTTTAAACTGATGATGTAAAAAAAAAAGAACTAAATTAAGTGATACGTGACATAAGCAAAGTAAATTCTTGGTGAAAGGTGTCACACGACATCCTAAATTTTTTTGAGAAACTTATTTTCTATAAATCTAATATGGAAACTTAAAAATAAAATTAACACTTTTTTAAAAGTAAATTAACACATGTTATTTGTTCATATCTACTTACAAAAATTTCTTTGTACATTTAAAAAAAAAAAATTTGATATCTCAAATGGAATTCTCTAACTCACTCTTGACATGCTGGTAAACTAGAAAAAAATCATTATTTCATTATCAAATAAGTGAAATAAATTGTATTTTATTTAATAAAATATATATATTAAAATAATAGATTCAAAAATATTTGTCAATATGAACATATATGTATTAATAATAAGATTTTTTTTTATAAAAAAACCCAAATAAAATTTTAAGATACACACTAATAATAAAATAAATAACTAACGTAAATAAATTCAGTTTGAAGTGTATAGCACATGTACACCTCCTAAAATAGACGTACTTCCGCCACTTACTATAAAGAGTCAAACTGGGCAATTCAAGTTAGGATGACATATCACATAACCTACCTAAGCGCACTGCTCTTCCGATGCTTCGCTGTGGATTCTCTTCATCGGCAACAATACTCCCAAGCCGCTCCAATCTCAAGCTTTTCGCTCTACAATTCAATTCCATATCGACCCTTACCTACCAGAATGCACAACTCCAAATCCCTTTCCCTGCACTTCAATCCTTCAAACTCTCTTAGCACCTATTTCAGATTCATATCAAAATCTACCTCGTTATTTATCCTATGCACCGCTTTTCCAGTTCTTAACTGGCCAGAACTTCTTAAAATTAGGGCAACAAATCCATGCCCACATGATCCTTCATGGGCTTCAACCCAATGCTTTTCTTGGCGCCAAAATGATTGCCATGTATGCAAGTTCAGGTGGTCTTCAAGCAGCCGTAACGGTTTTCGGTAAAATAAAAGACCCGACTACTTTGTTGTATAATTCGATTATTAGAGCTAATACAAACAATGGGTATCATTTAAAAACTATAGATATTTATTGTGTGATGCATTCTTTGGGACTCAAGGGTGACCATTTTACGTTTCCTTTTGTGCTTAAATCATGCGCGAATGCATTGGATGTTTGGATGGGAGCATGTGTTCATGGACAAACTTTGAGATTTGGGTTGGAGTTGGATGCTTACGTCGGCACGTCTTTGCTTGATTTTTACGTAAAAATAGGTGGATTAAGGGATGCGAATAAAGTGTTCGATCTAATGACTGTTAGAGCTGTGTCCTCTTGGAATGCTTTGATTGCAGGGTATATGAAAGAAGGGGATATACGGGTAGCTGAGGACTTATTTAGGAGAATGCCGTGTAGGAATATAGTTTCTTGGACATCTATGATTTCAGGTAACACTCAAAACGGGTTGGCTGAGGAGGCATTGAATTTGTTTAATGAGATGTTGAAAGAAGGCTCTGAGGTTAAGCCCAATTGGGTAACAATAATGAGTGTTTTACCTGCTTGTGCACACTCCGCTTCTCTATACCGCGGGAGACAGATTAATGAATACGTTAGTAGGATTGGCTTGGATTCGAATCCTTCGGTGCAGACAGCGCTCGTGGCAATGTATGCTAAATGTGGTAGCCTTGCTGATGCTCGTAGTTGTTTCGATAGAATACGGGACGATGAAAAGAATTTGTGTGCTTGGAATACAATGATCACTGCTTATGCTTCTCATGGTCAGGGTTTAGAATCGGTGTCAATTTTTGAGAACATGGTTAGAGCCGGGGTATACCCTGATGCAATCACATTCACAGGGCTGTTGTCCGGTTGCAGTCATTCTGGTCTTGTCAAGTTTGGATTAAGATTCTTCAATTCTATGCAGACAGTGTACTCCATCGAACCAAGACACGAGCATTATGCTTGTGTTGTAGATCTTTTGGCTCGTGCTGGACTATTGGTGGAAGCCAAGGCGTTTATCGAGAAAATTCCAATGCAACCGGGACCAAGCATTTGGGGTGCATTGTTAGCTGCTTGTAGGAAAAGTAAAAATTTAGAGATTGCTGAGATGGCAGCAGAAAAGCTGTTTGTTTTAGAACCGGAAAACAGTTGTAACTATATTCTGCTTTCCAATTTGTATGCTGAAGCTGGCATGTGGAAGGAGGTGGATAAATTGAGAGCTCGTTTAAAATGTCAAGGGGTCAAGAAGAACCCTGGATGCAGTTGGATTGAGATCAACGGAAAAGCGCACTTGTTCCTTGGCGGAGATATATCTCATCCTCAGTCGAAGGAAATATATAACCTCTTGGAAGCATTGCCGGAAAAAATCAAGGCGGCCGGTTATATACCAAACACCAGTTTTGTGCTGCATGACATAAGTGAGGAAGAGAAAGAACACAACCTCATTACGCACAGCGAAAAGCTTGCCATTGCATTCGGGCTACTTAACACAACGCCTGAAGTAGTTCTTCGTGTAACTAAAAACCTCCGAATCTGTGGGGATTGTCACACAGTTATGAAGTTCATATCGAAAATCTATGATCGAGAAATAGTTGTGAGAGATGTAAATCGTTTCCATCACTTTAGAGATGGTGCTTGTTCTTGTGGGGACTATTGGTAATTCGGAACAGCTTCATTTGCAAGACATAAGAGAGACTCACTAGGCTCATTCTGTGGCTGCGTGGCCTGCACTTTGAAAGCAAGTTCAAGGTAAAATTTCAAAGCAACCCGAAATTAATTTATCAAATTTGATCCGATCCGAACCGAATATCGATTCAATTTTAATTCAATAATCAAGTTAAAGTAAACGAATAATTAATTTTGTACGCACTAAAAGTCGTGAAATTTCAAAGGAATGACTGCATTCCTATGGATGCTTTTATGTCAAAGTGTTTTTGCTCTGGACGAATCTCTGGAGGAAGTTTTCACGTACATTGGATTTTTTTACTGTGTTTTATTTGTAAGAAATTGTGGAAAAAAATATCTCTAACATTTGACGAAATAATGATTTTGATTTGTATTTTTGAGGCATTTTGATGACAATATGTTGCATTTTAAGTAAAAAGACCATATCGATGAAAACTGTTAGTTAACAAATTCTCAATACTCCAAAATAAGAGTTTTGTTGCCCTAAAAAAGTTGGTGGTAAAAAAAGAGAGAATTAAAATGAAGATTTAATCAAATATTAAAGACCTAATGAAATATTGCACCAATTATATTAAATGATTTTATATATTTGAACTTTTTATTAATAATAATATATACAAACGTGGTTTTACAATGTTGTTTTAACTTTTAAAAGATATAAACTGGGGTTTATTCTCTTTTTCTCTATTTTTTACGATGTTGTCGATAGTTGATATTCATTATTTTCCCTTTACTTTATTATAGTGTATTTTTGGTTTTTTTTTTATTCTTAATAATTTTGTCTTTTTGACACGTTTTTCTCTGCCTCTATGACATGTTTATCTGCCTCTATGGTGCGTTTTTGTTTGTTTGATTATTGTTTTCGTTTATTTCTTTTAGGGTTAGATTTGGCGTCGCCACAACTGATCAAGTTGACGCTTATTTGTTATCATGATAATCTTCCATGCTTTGGACCTTTAGATTGAATTTGTATATGCGATTTGTGTTCGTGGATAGTATTTTCATATCACTCGATTCTGATTTGTGCTATGTCGGTGATATTTCAATAGTTTTTTCCCTTTTTGATTCGTTTGCCAATGCAATCAAATCTATTTTTATTTATCTCTTGTTCGAATTTATTTGGTTAGATTTTTTAACCCTTTAATTGTATGATTCTTATGTGATCTTGTGTTTAGGAAAATATTCTTTTAATATGTTTAGTTTACAATTGTGGTTGTAAACATTTATTGTAAATTGAATATTTTTTATTTTTAATAAAATTAGTTGATTCTATAAAAAAAAATTAAAATATATGGTTCAATTTAATTAATTTTCATTTTGCATAATATAACGTTAAGTAATTTCAAATTATTACGTTAATTGGTAACTGATTAAAATTATAATTTTATTATCATATTTATACTATTAGTAATTTTTTAATTAAAATAATATCATAAATCAATTCCACGTCAACTAAATTAATAAATAATCAAGATGTTCTTTCTTTTTAAGTTATATTTAGTATTATTATAATGTTTGTTTTTAAATTAATAAACATCTCTCTGTGGGCTATTTGCCCACTTCTGTTTCGTGTCTACAGGATTATCATTCTTAAGCTCAACTCTCTCTCTTCCTAGAAATATTGTTTCTCTTTGTGTTGAGCCTGAACAGTTCGTGGCTACACCTGACTTTTGTGCTGGCATACAAACAATCGAAGGTTGGATCGAAAAGCTCGGAGAATCCACTGCACTTGACCAGGGTTGCAGATTCGATCTCAGTGCTTTCGATACTTGTCTTCGTGCTGGTATCGAAGTCCAATCTACGTTGGTCTCCATTGATGGTAATAAAACTCACACTACTGATTGTTTTCATTATACTGTTCTTTATGCGGCTGGAATTGCTAATGAACTTGGACCTGAAAGTCATGGAGCTTTGGCATGTGCTTTTTCATTACCTTTGAATGAACAATCTAATTACTCCAGCAAAAGACATTCGGTCCTTGTTTTTGGCTTCACTGGTGCTGGTGAAGCCTGCAATATACCATTGAGATATTAAAGCTACAAAGATATTACTCGACGCTCATATGCGAGCAAGAGTGGCTGATTTTGGGTTGGCGAAACAGAGCCGGGAAGGCCAGTCTCACCTTACAACTAGAGTGGCTGGAACACACGGATACTTGGCCCCGGGATAGAGGGGTGCTAGGTGCGGTCGCATCCCTTAAAAATTTTAAATTCTCTTATATATTAGGTATTTGTTTTGTATTTTATATAAATTATTTGACTTCGCACCTCTAAGATTTTATAATATCGCACCCCTAAATTTTTAATATAATTTTTTATATTTGCACTCCCGACACAAATTCCTCCGCCTGAATATGCCCTTTATGGTCAGCTTGCTGAAAAGAGTGATGTTTACAGTTTTGGAAATAAGGTTTGTATGTATAAGCAATGTAGCCTAGGCATGGTGAATTCAGATTATTGAAGTCCCAATATTCCTTTGAATTCAGTTTATGGAAGTTCGAGTCATTGAATCATGTGAATTATGTAAAAATTGCTTTTTTATTATCAAATCTTTACGTATTATAAAAAATTATTAATCTTATCGAACTATTATAAAACGATCATGTGAAATAATCCTATAAAATTTTAAATAATAATAATTTTTGATAATTTAAATGATTATTTTGTTCTAACTTAATAATTTTAATAATTATTTTATAACTATTTGAAAATTTAATAAATTATTTTATAATATTTTGACACTTCATGTTACAGTATATGTGTGTTTGCAACACACATATATATATGTGTTGTTTTTCCCGAAATATCACCTTTTACCATTAATTTTTCCCGTCAGACACCCTTCAGACTATTTTTTCGGATCTAACACCCTTTGCAGTAAAATGTGTCCCATACAACGCGTTTTACGCTGATTTGGCACCACGGGATAAGGCGCACCCCCTATAGTGCGCTTTACGCTGTTCTGACGTCACGTAGGGTATAACGCAGGGCAGGGGCCGCGCTTTACCTTTAAATATGACACGCGTTAGAAATGCGTGCCCCATGCGGCGTGCCTTAGGTTTAATTACCCACTTATCCCGACCATTCACACCCCACCCCCTCCCTATAAATACTCACATTCTCAATCACTTTCATCACACCAAATCCTCTCAACTTCTCTCAAATACTCTTATATTCTATTTTAATTGTTTAAGATATATTTTATTATATTTAATATTTTGTTTTTAATTTATTTAAGTATTTAAGTATTTAAATATTTTATTTAATTTTTTTTTTGCAGATATAAAAAGGAATGAGGTCTACTTCGTTTGGATGGAAATCATATATCACGACATTTTGCTAATACGGTAACATTTTAACGTTTTAATATAATTTAAATTATTAGTAATAATTTATTTATTTATTTAATGCATGATTATTAGTTTAAAAATTAATTTTTGTAATTATTTAATTTTAGGAGAGGGATCGTGTATTAGATCCTTTTATTAGGAATCTTAAGTTAGTGATACCTAGCTGTGTCTTGTCGTATTTAGTATAGGCTGGATTCGGTCACATAGGTAGACATGAGAGCATGGATACTTCAGAGCTTGAAAAAACCCGCAGTCGTACGTTCTGTCCCGTAGATTTACTCTTAACGACATAGCTTCAATCCCTTGAAGAGGTCGCGACAACATTGTGACACGAAACATTTCATGTCTTCTAGAGAAGCTTGTTACAGACATTCTATTTGATGCATTAATTTTTTTGTAGATCTGCAACTAATCTAGGGTGATAGACATGACCGCCTTGCATCCAGGTTTGAGCTTGTCCCCCGAGCTTTGCAAAAGAGCCTCCAAACGAAAATATGTAGTTTTTAGCAAAGCCGCTACAGGTAAGTGACATGCACCCTTTAAGGTTGACTTGATTGCCTCAGCCAAATTGGTCGTCATGTGTCCATATTAATATCCACCATCATATGCGTTCGTCCACATTTCTTTATCGATGAGGCTGATGTAATCGTATCCTTCCTCATTTTTCGCCCGCAAATCTTGAAGTATTGCTTCAAACGTTTGAGGAAGTAGTTCGTAACCTGATCAAAAAATGTATAACTTACTAACTTGCTATCTTTGCAAAATTAAAATGATCGAAAGAAAACAAACTACATCAGTTTCAGTTACCCATGCGCACAATTAATTGACGCTCATCATTCTTCTTGTACCTTCCATGGTAGTTCGCAACAATGTGTCTGAGACAATACCTATATTGGACAAAGGGTGGTTGCCACATTTGACCCAAAGACTTCATTGCTGCTTTGATCCCAACTCCGCGATCTGAAATGACACAGATTTTTTCCCTTTGTGATAACATGTGCACGTAAGTTTCGGAGGAAAAAAGCCCAAGAAATCTGTATCTTCTCCTTCAACAAAAGCAAAAGCAACTGGAAGAATGTTGCGATTGCCATCTTGGACAACTGCCAATAATAAAACTTGCTTGTATTTTCCATACAAGAAAGTCTCGTCGATCTGGACCATAGGCTTACAATATTTGAAATAATTAACGCATTGTGGGTAAGTCCATAAAACCCGGTAGAATTGGCATCGATCGCGAAGAACTCGATCATTATGGTATGCATATGAGGTTTCGAAGTCCACAATTATCCCATGATTCAACCTCCGCACCAGGCTAAACCATTCTGGAAGTTCGTTGTAAAATGCATCTTATTCGCCATGAAGTTTGACAATGGCATTTTGTTTTGCCAACCAAGCTTTTTTATATGAGACAGTGTACCCATATTGTGATTGTATAGCAGAAATCAACACTGCAATAGCTATATGGGAGCTTTGTTTTTACCATGGGCATGATGGCTTGCAGATAACTTCAGAGTCCAAGTTGGGATGATCTTGGTTGATCTCTCCAGCACAACATGTGTGAGGACCGTTGTATACCGTTAGTTCTCATATATTGTTTTCCTCTTCCTCTTTGATATGTGAACCATCCAATTGCATTCGTTTTCATGTTGGACACAGTGGCATACATATTTTCTGTCGTAGAGCGATCGACTCTGGATTGAACAAAATTATGGATATTGTAATTTTTTATAGTCATCATCCTTCTTCTTTGCTTGAAAACTCCATGCCTAAAGATAACTCGTCATTATTTACTGATGAGTAAAATCCATAGTCACCGAGATGAGGCATATCCGAAAATTCTGACACGTACATTGCATCATAGTCAGATTCATACATGTGTGCTGGAAGTTCAGTTTGTGCCACATTTGAGGGAACTTCATCTACATCATCATCACCATCGGAGTTGAATTGCGGTGATTCTAGGTGAATGAATAGTCCAGTTTCAGCACCATCCCCACCTGGCTCACGAAGCCGTTCTTCTGGTGGAGAAGATAATTCCTCCATGCTCTCCACATTTAGGTTGAAGAACCTACTACTTGCACGCCTTCCCCTTGAACTAGAAGGCATATCGACATTGAGATCGAAAAAGCTTGCAGTCGAATGCCTCTCCCTGGAGCTTGAAGCCATCGTGTCAAATGGAAACTGCACAGATTGTTGCGTCAAGGGCATCTCCATATTAAGTTCAATCAAATTGGCAGATGAATGTCTTCCCATTGAACTGGTCTTGATGTTGCCATGCAGATTGTTCGTGGACCCACCTCGATACATATCGTAAGGAGTTGCTGATGAATGTCTCCCCATTGAAGTTGATGGGATGGCACCATGATGCGAATTTCCCATTATGAAATTAAAATTATTACACATTACTGTAGTCGGGCTGTCAACTTGATCAACTTTTTCAACCAGTCCATAGTGGGAGCTTAATGACAGACCCCGAATAGCACACACTTGAACAAACTTCGCATGCATCTCAATATCGACGTCTGAATAATTACTTTGAGAATCAACCATCATTCAACATCATCATTGTTTATAGTTCGAATACTGTAAGTTAATGACAACAATGATGTTCTTGAATGATATTTTAACACGCTCATTTAATACGAAAACAAAACCGGTTTCATCTTCTTGAATTTCTCCATATAAACAATAGCTGAAAGTCGTGTCTTCTTAGAGTTTAAAAGTGCGACAATATTATATCTGTAAAAAAACAACTGAAACAAATCTGATTAAATAAATAACATATGAACGAAAATAAACACAATAAAATTTTTACACATAAACATAAAAATTAAATAATATAATTTTGTAGTATTACCTGCACCACAAAAAATTTCGACGTATGCTCCCGTTCTCCCTTTGAACTGACAGAAATTAATTGAAAACAATTATAATATTTTTTCAAATAATCATAATAAAAATAAGTATAATAAAAATATTATAACAAAATTACCTTATAATGAAAGATCGAACGAACTTCTAAATCAAATATAAGAGGATTGTCGGTGTTATTTACTGGTTGAAAGGATTGTTGCATTAATTTCTCGGTTGAGAGGGAATTGTGAGAGAGTTTACGGGGGAGAGGGCTATTTAAAGCCGAGAGAGGATGCTTTAAAGCCGAGAGGTCCGAGTAAATTATGCAAGGCGCGGTCCCTGCACCGCGCCTTGCATTATGTTGTTGATAATTGAGCATGTGATAATTGAAAAGTGCGGCCACTGCCCCGCGCTATAGCCCTATGTGGCGTAAGGCGCGCCCCAAGGGCCGCGCTTTAGACACGTGTGTCAATGTCAGCATAAAGCGCGCTGCAGGGTGCATGCCTTAACCCACGTGGCGCCAGATCAGTGTAAAGCGCGTTGCAGGGGGCGCCTTATTGCAAAGGGTGTTAGATCGGGGAAAAATAATCTGAAGGGTGTCTGACAGGAAAAATTCATGGTAAAAAGTAATATTTCGGGAAAAACGCCCATGTATGTAGTGCAATAATCATAACTAGCAATTCTTCCTATATACGTCATATATATATATATATATATATATATATATATATATATATATATATATATATATATATATATATATATATATATATATTGCAATAATCAAAAGTATTAATTCTATAATAATTAAATCAATGGATTATTTTGAGTT